TTGGTTGGTTGATTATTTGATTAAAAATGATGACGAAAACAAATTTTAACAACGAAAAGAAATAATTAAGCTGTGAATGTTGGTAATGACGATTATCCCGATGACGATGATGATGATGATGGTGATGATGAATTGCACAAGATTCAATATCACAAGACGTCGTGAGCATCGTGCTGCCATGTAATATGATCCGCCATCTTCCTCCACGAGTATCACGTGACCACCTCAGTGGTGTCACGTGACAAACAAACATGTCACGTGAGCAGCCAGCCAACGAAGCCTCCCTCCCCTCCTCCTTTCCTCTGTAAACAATGGGGCTGGATCATCTTCACACTGGCTGTTTACATTTATTAGCATTTGGTTGTTTTTGGTAGTGTTGTTGTTGTTGTTTTACAAGATGACGTTTATGATGTTGATTGTTGTTGCTGGTTTGTTGGCGAGGTTGTTGTTTTTTTGTTTGTTTCGTTGTTGTTCGTTGATATTGCTTTGTTTATGTTTTATTGGTGTGGTTTCGTTGATGTTGTTTCGTTGTTGTTTTGTTGGCATTGTAGTTGGTTGATGTTGTTCTTTGTTAGTGTTGTGTACGTCGTTGCAAGCATGAACGTCAACTCTACTAACAATTGTTTGCTGGCTCACTTTCTTGTTGACTTGATGTTCATGAAGCAACGAAAATTTTCAATAGTCACATCACACGAAAGTTAATTAGTGCGTTCCTTTTTACCTTTCACATACCATTACAGTGCAAAATTTTAATTCGCTAGATCAGGTTTGCAGTAAAGGATGTGCAGGCAAAAATGTTGAATTTATTTTAAACTGAAACATCAAATTCGTATTAAAATAAATCAATAAGCACTGAGAAAACTGAGAATCAACCCTCATGTTCAGGGCCGGAGCAAGCGTATTTGCAAGGGGAGGGGCGAAACTCAGTGTGCCACCACCACCGCCTCGTTTTTATTATGCTACTACCGTAAGCTGTTGTTTAAATGCTGTTTTTAAATTTAATAATTAATATTAATGGAATAATAAAATTGTTTACCTGATTTTTCTTTTGAGCATTTTTTTATCACTAACATTATTTGATTTGTTAAATAATGTTTTTAATTTTGGTGTTGGTGACAACGTATCGTTTCCTTTGTTTGTTTTTCTTTCGTTTTTAATAATTTCGTTTAAATTTTAATGTTTATATAAAAAAAACATATCAATAGAACATAAAAAAAGTAACACAAAAAGAATCACATTTTTTTGGATCCAATTTTTGACAAGTGTGAATAACTTTTCCATGTTATTTAAAACTCAAAATTTGCCGCCCTGAAATATGCCACTCGGGCACTTGGCCTCTTTGCCCCCCTAGTTCCGGGCTAGCTCATGTTTTTATTTTTCATATATATTTTTAGTTCATTAAGTGAAAATCGTGCAGATGTATTTATAACTGATAGAAGTTTTATTTTTTTGAGCAATTAAGTTAATGACTTCGTGGAAAGTTGTTTGAAGTCCAAAAGGAGCTGAACATTTTTAAATGATTAGTAATTGAAGCGTGCATTAAACAGATTGGCTTAATGTCATTTTTTTCAAATAATTTATGATAAATAAAATAAATTAACAAAATTTTTAAAAATGAAATTAAAACATGAGACAAATGAAGCAACTACATGCTCCATCAGTTCAGTCAACATTAGCAAACACAAGCAAAAATACATTTCAACAACATCAACAACAACATCAACATTAACAACAATAACAACATCTTCAAACCCGTCTAGCACAAACTTTTCAAACACATCCACAGCTAAATGAACATCAACCGCAAAATGCACGCCACCACCACCACCGCCAAAAACAAAAACATCAACAACATCAACGAAAAACAACATCTACCACCAGGAACAGGAAGTGATAATGTCAGGAGCAATGATGACGAGCATCGCGCAAACGACTTTACTCAAACGCCAACAAATCATTTTCAAACCTGGGATCGTGGCTGTTACTATCTGCAACGACAACCTCAACAACATCAACAAAAACAACATCATCAAAAACAACGACATTATTATCATCAACTACCGCAACTTTATCAACAACAACAACTACTACAAAATAATTTTATTTCACCACAGCAGCAACAGCATTATCATCTTCAACAACAACATCATCAACAACAACAACAACAACATCAACAACATCAACAACGTCAACAACAACAACAACAATTACGAGAACAATTGTTTCGGAGCACGTGTGAAAATTTTGCGAGAGAGCGCGAAAGAAGGAACATTCCTCTGAGTTAGTTGGCTGGAAAGTGTTCAGAACCTCTTCATTCATTCATTCATTCGTTCATTCATTCATTCATTTTTCGTTTGTTCATTCGTTCGTTCGTTCATACGTTCATTCATTCATTCACTCATTTTTTAGATGCTCATAGAATCATTTTTATTCTAGTTCTTTTGTTTGCTTGTTCAATCATTTGTTCACCAATTTACTTGACCGTTTCTATGTTCATTCATTTGTTTCTGTTCTTTTATATTCATTCATTCATTTCAACCTTCTCCGAAATGTTTCAAGCACAGTGTATGATATGACGTTAGGGTTAACGACTTCGATCACAAAGAGGTCCCCGCCTACGACATGTGATGCTTCGATTCGCATGTGTTCTACATACAACGCGTGTGATGCTTCGATTTGCATGTGTTTTACATGCAAAAAAGTGTTTGTTGCAGATTCATCTGAAAAACATTGAAAAAAAAACATTTACCAAAAATAATGGAACGAAAAATTGAATTATAACTTACAAGACATTCAACTCAACATTTGGATTCAGTCGTTAAAATTGACTAATTTTTTTAAAATTGACACGACTCTACATGCCGGCCTTTCAACAAGTTGATTCCTTAGTTTAGAATCTATTCTGTTATTTTGTCAGTTTTGCGTAGCTACCTATCATCCTCTACTAATCTATTATCATCAAACATTATCTACAAACACTTATCTACTTTATTAACTTTCAGAATAAATGCGTCAAAACATCTTGAAAAATCAGAAATCATTGCAGCCAGTGTTGCGTTATTTTTTAAAAAAACAAAAATCATAATCTTCAGTTGAAAGGTTAACAGACTGCAGTGCCAATCATGTCCACACATTCCCACACTTCTGCTGGTTAAAGCTGTGCTGCCAGTTCTTAAGCTATCAGTTGTAAGAAGCTTTTCGCGAAAGAATTGAAAAGTAGGGAAAACTTTTCAGGAAACGATACAAATGAATAACCTTTCAATGCTTTTGCCTTCCTTTCCGTTCACTTTTATTAGTTTGAAATTAATTGATTCTTTTTATCTGAGCATAGCAACTTGAGCGTTTGGCGTCCCATCATTTCTTCTTGTGGGTCTCTGATTTCATCGTGCTGGAAAAAATTTCCGACACCAATGCATGGCGATTACCATTTGAAGTGGCGATCCCCCGCAAGTCCACGACGCATACGCAGGGATGTCCCAGTGCAACCCGCAACAAGACAGGACGGAGCTGGTCGTTGCTGATTGGTTGCAGGTCGCCATCTAACGGTGATGAATAACCAACCGGCACTTAACAAATTCGCCACCATAGATTTCATACAAAATTATACCGTTCGGGCTGATAGATGATTCATGCTTCTTCTTGTAATTTATTCATTGATTTGTTTGTAGATTCTTTAAAAAATTTCCAAATACTTTTGATAAAATAATTTTATTCTCGGGTTCAACTGTTCGCCTTACGTCCAACAACTGAATGGAACATCATTTCATTTTGAAATGTTTCGTTAGTGAGTCCACAATCATGTTCCCATATGCCGTGCAAGTGAGCAGTTGAGGTGAGGAGGAAGAAGATGGGGTGAATGTTCAGGGACGATGAACGTTCAATGGTGACAAATTCAACGACTCCCACACCAGCTATCATCTAACACCAACTTAAACGTAGCGAAACATCGCAATTAATTAAAATTCTTCAAACTAAAAATTGTGAAAAGATTAAAAACTGAATTAAATAATGTAAACAAAGTTGAAAATAAATAAAGTAGCTACTTATTTAGGCAGACTTCATAAGTAATTACTGCAAAAATATTCACAAATGAGTACAGAGCACAGAGGAACTCTTACATTAAAACAACACATCCACCAACAACAGAAACAACAATAACACAAATGCTGCAAACAACAACAGCAACAGTCATGCAACCCCAGGTTGAATACAAACGTCACATAAAGTTCCTCTGTGGTTGGCTTCTGGGGTTTTAAAGAAATTAAGAAACAAAAAAAATTAATTCTGTTGCATCTTACTTACTTGATGTCATTTTCTATTTTATCATCAGCATCACCATCAGCAGCAGCATCGTCATCATCAATAATTACAACATTCAATTTATTTTCAACATTGTGCAGAAGAAATCATCTTCATAAACAAATTCATAAAATCAATATGACCGGCTAACGATAACAAACCGTGCAACAATCAACCACGCAACAACTAACCATACAGCAACCAACTAAACAACAACCAACAATGCAACGAGCCAACCACACAACAACCAACCAGGCAACAACTACCCATGCAACCAACCGTACAACAACCAACAATCAGCTATGCAGCAGTCAGCTTATAACCAACCAGAACCAATCAACAACAGCCAATCAACAACAACTAATCAGCAACAACCAACTAATCAGCAACAACCGACTAATAAACAATTCACCAATTACCAACCACAGCCACCAAACCTGAATCAACTTTGAAACAACCTGCCAACTATTTAACAGAACCAACAAATAAACGACTAACCAAACAACAGCCAGCCAATCAATGATCAGCCAGCCAACAACCAACCGGCAACCAAACATTCAACAGCCAATCAGCAACCAGACACCCACCTTTTGACTCGGTACCATACATCATGCATTTATGCAACATCAGCGCACCATTATAGAACGCAAGTTTGGTAATTATGTCGTAGGCATCCTAGCGCGGAGATCGTGACGTCATAACGACACGTGATGTACGTCATCAAGGAGGCCATCAACACAACTTCCTGCCAATCTAAACTTTCTTTCATTCTTTTAAAAATATGATCTTTCCTTCTAGCATCTCCTATTCTTTCCATTCTTTCTTGCAAAATAATAACCTGTTTCCTTTATCTTCTGCCATCATCTTGTGACATTTCACAACCCTGGAGAAGAAAAAATTTCCAACAGCAATTTTTTGGCTTAATTCTTATGCTAAATGTTTGTTGATGGAAAGTTATCTGTGTATTGAACGGTGGAGTGCGCGAAAGAAAGAAGAATGAATGAATGCAATGTATTGAACGGTGGAGTGCGCGAATGAAAGGAGAATGAATATGCTTCTGTCCATCATTCTATGAACTTCATGCTCTTCTGTGTGATGTGAAATTTTTCAAATTAATTGTTTAAAAATGCATACAAATTTTTAAAAACCGGCTTAAAAATTATTTTTTCTTAAAACATAATCTGAACACATGGCGAGAAGAAAGACGAGCAAATGCAGCACATCTCCATTAGCTGACAGGAATGTTTGCAAAAGCTTTTCTCCTAAGATCATTTGCGCGTGTGTTGTAAGGAAGACGTTTTTACAAACAAAAGCCAAAAATACAAGAGATGTTCTACACAGGTGCTCTGATGTTTTTGCTGTTCGGTGGTTGTTCTCCTGGCTCCATCTTCTTCAATTTTCTTTCATCTTCGGTTTCGACTATCCTTTCATCGTTCGTGTCCGTCCGACTTATCAGGATGGCGTCTTCCTCAACGCTTGAAACTTTTCAAAATTTAAAAAAGCGAACCAATTATTTCAAATAAGCAGCTTCCGTTTGGGTTGGTAGCTTTGATCTGATTCCATACTGACCGGTGATAATTTTATTGTAAGTTTAATCGATTGATTAACGACCTTAATTAATTAACAAAATTAATTTATTAAATTAATAAATTAATTTGTTTATTTAAAATTAATAGCTTTGCATCATTTGGCGTACCAGTGTACCAGTATTCTAATGCTGCTTCCATTTAAAATTATTTATTCTATATTATAATTATTATAATTATTTTAAAATTTATTATAAATATATTCGAAATATTAATTCTTCAGTTTGCTATCCAACCTTCTTCCGGTAAGTAAGCAGACATGCCTGTCATGCACACTCTTCTAATATCCAAGACATCAATTTATGAAAACCTTGAAATGAAACTTTCGTCAGATGTAGGAAGGGGATGAGATGGCACGTGATTGCATCGCCTGTCGCATCAATCCAACGTCATTAGTGGAAGAGTGCCGTAAGATGAAATTGCTATCATGTATAATGTTTATATTGTGTAAATTTCGCTAGGGAACCGAACAGCAGTAATAATAAAAAAATCCCAAGTAAAAGCAGAACAGTTTATCATATCACTTGTAACCAATGAATCATCATTTAACGATAACAAACGCTCCAGTAAACACGCTAAAAAACAAAACTAAAGTACGCAGCACCGACCAAGAAGCTTAGTTCAAAACGCTTAACTACCAGTCCGAACAAAACCAACTGAGAGACCATTCATTCTCAAACATACTAACCATACTTGTGCAACACCATACCAACATTCAAACAAAACCAATTCACACAACACCATACCAACAATCACACAAAACCAATTCAGATAACATGAGCGCCAAGCAAACCAACATACGCACATGAGCAGTTCATTCAATATGCTTGCCGAAACAACGTTACAATTATATAGTATATGTTTGTATATATGCGAAACAAAACAACATTTTGTATTCGTCTACAAAAGTTCGTTTTATTAACCAACTTGTAAAATGTTGCTCCATTTCGCTGAGCATTCCATCTCAACTTTTACAATTTTTTATTAACAAATCGAAATTTATTTAATTGAAAGATAAACAAAACAAGCAACAAGCTAATGTTATCTACGAAGCGAATGTTAAGTTAACATAAATCCATGAAACTGTTTCCATAGTAGCAGTTGATCGTTCATTCCTCGCCACTTGACTCGTTCAACGTTCATGTGCTACCTTTTCACCCTAGCTCTCTTCTTTCTTCTTTCTTTCTCTTATTTTTTCCTTCTCTCTCTAACTCTTTCTGACTCACTTTTCTTATTGCTTTTTCTTTGTAATTTTACAATGGCTACACACACGCACAGACACATATGTGTATCTTAATATAAAAATGATTGTTAATTACGTTTTGTGGTTGATTATAATGCACCGATAAACAATCAGAACATGTAATTTGTGATGTTAACGGCGCCGTACCAATTGATGAATGGAAGAAGGAAGAGGAATCACCAATTTCAATTGTGCCTCTTATATAGCAAGAAATTATTCAACATGTCACAACTAGCTTAACGGAAAGTGCGATTGTAAATCATAGAAGAAACTGCGAAATCAACCGCACGTACAAGTCGAGAGTAGGTGCAGAGCGGTGTAATCCTGTAATCCAACTCGCCTGTAAATCGCAGACGACATAAATTTTAGATCACAACTGACTACGCACTCCTACACAACGTTCTCACGCACGTTCTCACGCACGTTCTCATGCACGTTTACACGCACGTTCTCACACATCTCTACTGTTAGGGGATATTAAAAGTGATAACATCTTGTACGCTTATGTGCTAAAAAAAGAGTTTTTTGGCTTTTGTGTTACGTGTGAGCATAGATGGTGATAGATGGTGGTTGTTTTGGAGTTGAGGACTTGATTGGAAGCAGTAAGCTTCTGATAGAGAGAGGCTGGAGAAGGAGCTCTCCATTGTTTGAACATCCACAATCTGTTGTGCATAATGCTGACAAGATTAACAAAATTGAAATATGTTTAATTTAAAATGTGGCTATATGCACAGAGAAATAAGTGCATGTGGCATCGAATTACAACCGCTACATTTGCATGCGTTTAAAAACTTCAATTTGTTGCTACCGCTGATATTTGCATGAAACTTGAGGACATTTTTTTACTTCTGCTCGTTTTGTTAGTGAAAAATTGAAACCTCGTTTCAAATGTCAGAAATGTAGACAGATCTTTCACTTTCTATTTCACATTAAGTTTTTAGTTAATATTATTAAATAGATAGTATTAAAAATTAAATAAATTTAATAATTAATAATGCACACACACACACACACACACATATATATATATATATATATATCTATATATATATATATATATATATATATTGGTGTGTGTGTGAGAAAGAGAGAGAGAGAGAGAGAGAGAGAGAGAGAGAGAGAGAGAGAGAGAGAGAGAGAGAGAGAAAATTTTAAATAAACTGAATTGATAAGAATGAAAATAATTAATTGACACTTTTTTTAAACTTCACGTCAGACCCATTGTTTTGGAGCGGTCAGCACGTGGAATTGTGGCTGCTGTGGTTCTGCAGTCACTTTCCATCTGAGCATTTTCATCTACCGACTTTCGATTGTTTGAATGGTGAAGAAATAATCAAGCGGGGGCGGGAATATCTCATGTCAATCACTTCTGAACACGTGGGCAGTCTTTTATGGAGGCATTTGATTACGTTGCACGAAGGTTTTATGTTCAGTTTTGTTGGGGCCCGTTGTGGCGATCGAATGTTGATGACATTATTGAAGTTCATTAGATGTTGTGTGGTGGCGTTTGTGTCTTCGGTAGGATTGGCTGGTGTGGTTTTTGTGACGGTTGATGTGCTTGCTTGCATTTCGCGCGATTATAAGTTTAAATTAGATTTAATTATTGAACCTGAACACAACCCAACAGAATGTCAAAAAGAATTGCTGAACTACCACACAAGCTATAACTTCTGCTTAAACAATATGTTGATTCTGCCATCTGTGGAACAACAAGCAGTTAGAAGTGTCAGAAATCATTCCATTCCAACCATTGTAGAGAAAAAATTGAAGAGGGTACATCAGATCATCAAAACTTATTCTTTATCAGGTTTCACAATTTATCGGTTAACCCATTGTTGGTCTAAGATATTTATTTGTTCAAACATCTTAATCGCCTCTCACATCACATCCAACCTCAAACGAATGTTTTAAATGCTGAAAGATTGAATTTTATATCATGCCTGCCTGAATGAAACGCAGAATTTATATTTTGAATCGGTCATTCGGTTGCATAATATTAAAAATGTTGATAAAAAATATTCGAAGCGAGTTATTTCACGTTTTTTAAACAAAATTCTCTAAGAACTTCTTTCATTTCAATCTTACGTCTGACTGCTAACGAGACGGATGGATCTTGGTCTTCTTTGAAAATATTTCATCCTCTTAGTACAAATTCTTGCAATAAACATTTTTAAATAAAATAATTTCACCATTATATTTACCTTCCTTTTTCAACAATATTTTAATTTAATAGAAACAAAATTTTGTATCTCTTATTATCGAATCCAAATAATTTTCTTGAGTATTTAAACCAATTAGAATTTCTTAAATTAAACGCCGTTTTCCAGCGTTATTTTTCTTAGAAACACATCAGCAATATTAAACCCAGTTTTTTTAAATAATTTTTATTTTAGTTATTTTTGATTTAAACAAAATAAATATCACAAAATATTTCAGAAGAGTATTGTCAGTCCTCGAACAGCATCCTCCCTCCACATCCGGCACCACCCTCCTCTCTCACCTCCCCACTTTCTCTTCATTCAACATCGTCAGCATCTTTTCATCCTTTCATCGAGTCTGCATCTCCTTCTTCAAGCACCACTTGCATCAACAACTACCAAATCCTCAACAACTCAACAATTTCTTCCTCCGTTGAAAATGTCAACGAATATTTCGACGACGCGTATTTTAAATGTGAGCCGAGAAGATCAAGCATTACTAATTTCTCACACCTCGAGCAGATCTTGCAAAGAAGAGTTCATGAGAACCTAACAAAAGTCGATGCTAACAGGAAGATGTTGATGGAATCCTCCAGACACAACACGTTGTACCAACTCGATGGACACTCCAACCTCAGCGACGACAACAAATATTCGTACAGATACAACGACATTAACAAAAACAACATAACACACCAAAACAACAAACTCGACAGCGAATATGTTTCAGGAGCGATGAAGTTAAATTCGTTGAATGGATTTGAAGAGGAGAATGATTGCCGTCTTGAAGAGGTCAACCATGAAAAATGTGTTTATTATGCAGACAGTAACCGTAAAAGCAATTATAACTACATACCTAACGACCTTAGTTTTAATCATTCGAACAAGGTGATCTTCAAATCTAACAGCTATCACAAAAATAATGAAAAAAATAGAGAGAACGATTACGAAGATGATGACGCAATAACCATCTCATCTTGCAACAGTTTTGCATTAAAATGTGATAACAACAACAGCCTGACATGTGGTGATAGCAACAACATCAGCAACATCACCATCAACAACATCAACAACAATGACACCAAAGATACATACAACGAAATCGACGCTGACAACGACAATAAAACACAAATGATGAATTCCGATAGAATCAGAAGAATAAAAGCAAGCACCAGGGACATGAACAACAACTTCTTTGCAAATGAACAGAAAAACAATTTTTTAAAATTGAAAACCCAGCAGACAAGTTGGTTGCTTCTTTTAAAATAATTCTGATAATAGTATTATTATTGAATTTATTTTGAATTAATACTGATTAACATTTTTGATATTTCTAACGATATTTATATTTTATTTCTAAGCAATATGTCTTGCGAACAAATTAATTGGTAATACACATATTCAATTCTTTTTCTAAAACTAAACAGCTTCTTTATTTTGTCCAAAATGATTTTCGTGACATCTATCTGATATATAATGGATATAAATTGTATTATGTATAACACTTATTTAAATGAATGTTTTGTTTCTCATCGCATGCGTAGGCGGGTGGTATGGCGTATGTATTTTTGCTGGACGTTGGCTTTCTCCTTGCAGCTTTGAGATCATCGGCATTTCAATCTCTGATGATAATATGATAATGTGATCGTGATCAACCTTTATGGAATATTTTCATCTTTTTTAGCTGTAGAAATTGACCGTTTGAAAACTTTACCTAATAAATAGATACTATTAACCTATTAATATAGAGAATCAATAAATAATAACAAATGAAACAATTTGAATAATTTATCATATAGATGGCAGTCATGTCCATCTTTGGCAGTTTCTTCTGAAACTCCTATTGGACGAAAGACACCGTGACGTCATAGCCTGGACCGGAAGAGGTTTAGAATTTAAATTGCTGGATCCCGATGAGGTGGCCAGGATGTGGGGGGCATGCAAAAACAGGAAAAAGATGAACTATGAGAAGTTGTCACGTGGTCTCAGGTACTACTACGAGAAGAAGGTGATGAAGAAGACGAGAGGACGGAGATACATCTATCGGTTCGTTGAGGAGTTCGTATTTGCAGGCATCAACGACAAAATGGATGTGGAAGCAGTGATCGACAACTCAGAAAACATTCTTCGTTGACATATTTATTCATTTATTTCGATAATATTTTTTTTCATTTTTTTTCTAAATTATTATATTGACATTTAACTTCGTTCTCAGTTTGTTTTTAAGAACATGTGCATAGGAAGCATTTTAATTTATAGGGCCGAAGCAGCACTTGACTCTTTTGTAACTTCCTAAATAACAACTTGACATTTTCGTTCAATATTGAAAAACTTCATTGTAATGTGCCTTTCAGTAAAAAGAATTTTTTTAAATAAAACTTCTTGGACGCTAAGAAAATGTACTTTAATGTTTGTTTAATTAAATCATAAAAACCTCTAATTCAACAGACACATCAATGAACTTATTTAAATGAAATGTAAGCGCCGATAAAACAATAACAACATCATTGAAATAGGAAGTGCAAGGTCATAATACTAAGTGTAGCACTTGACAGTTTGTTAATCTTTTTTTCTTTATGTCAGGCTCCTTTAAATGAGTAATGAATTTTTGTCCTGTTCTACGCCGGTATGTTAATTTCATTTTAAAGATTGTCCAAACTTCGTCCTTCAACAAAACTAATACAAATTAAAATAAATTATACATAGTAGTCTTCTTGTGATGACGATTAAGAAAATGATAATAAATAACTTTACTCATACAATATAAACAAGATGTTAGAATTGAATTGTTGCGAAATATCTTTTAAAATTAAAATTCTTGTTTCAGCTCATTTTAAGGGTTGAGTGAAGAGGCATGTTAGGGTTGTCATCGTAATGCTATCGTAATGGGTCGGCAACCTCTGCGTGGTTTGTGGTTCTACTCCGTGCGAAGTATGAATTGGTTTTGAAACTTACGAATCACTTAACTTGAAACATGTTTAACCGAAATGTGCAGACAGACAGTTAGTTGCTGTAGTTTGTGTTTACTGAATATTTATATTTGACCGAGGCAGATTGACCAATAGACAAATGAAAGAAATGACTAAAAGCCCGGATTTGTGTCCCATCTGCATTTAGTCACAGATATTTTTATTTTAATATTTGAAAATAATATATATAATAATTTTTAATTTTAATTTTATTTTTTAAAATATAAAGATCTAAATATTTTTATTTTTATATTTTTTATCTCAACATTTTAATTAAATAGTTTAGCAACTGTCTTTATCATGTTCCATTTGCATTGTGTTGAGACTTAAAATTTCAAAAAAAAAAATATAACGAAAAGGGCTACTCATTAGTGTTAGAACCTTCCACTTCCTATTTGAATGATAATGTTATTGTTCTATCGGCGCTCACATTCCACTTGAATAATTTCATCGTTGTGTTTGTTGAATTAGAAGTTTATATGATTTAATTAAACAATCATTTAACGGAATCACGCAAAATCCTGGTTAACTGTAAACCTTTCAAATTGATTGACAGTTTTTGAACGAATTCTGAAAATATAAGCACCCAAAAAATTAATTTGCTGCAAAGTTTGTCAAGATACATAAACTATACATTAGATTACAAACACAATACAACGGGTCAGAAAATAAAATTTTTGCAATATGAAACAAAAAACTAGACACAAAGACCGCAAATTAGCAATTAAACTGCTTGAAAATATAATTACTTTTTAAATTTTCAAATTTTATTTTGTTTATAATTCTAATTTTTATTAATAAATTAACTAAACATTTTACTAGAAGCAAGTATGGGCGTCACGCTTTTATGTTTCATATAGGATACCAATTCAGTGAAAACGTTAGTGACGCAAATGCTTTCCGAGCAGCGCTAACTACTAATAAATTTATATGAAAGCTTCCTTGAAATGAAGCCAGACACAAACTTTTCTATTTTTACTTACCGTGCCGAAACTGAAAATTGGAGCGAAGAAATGAACGGTTGGAAGCTTTATTATATAATTCATAAGGCATTCCACAAAAACGGGAGCGTATGACTCCCCAAGCACTGATCAATCACATGACACATTAAATTAGGAAGCATGTCTGCAAACATATCTGGAAAGATAGTCGGTCGATATTTCGTACCTACATATATTCACAATCGATTAATCAAAACATTGTCGTGAATCTATTTTGTGACCAGTACACATTTGATGTTTTGTTTTTTATAATAGGCTCAAATATTCAAGTGTTACAGACCACTAATCTAGCTCAAGAGCTTATGTAGAAAATAGTTAATGGTTTTATTAACAATTAGTAAATCACTAATACATTACAAACATCAGCATACAAAATTGACAGTAAAATAAAAATAGAATTTTTTATACTTACTAAGCAGCTCGTACAAGCATTTCTGTGAAGTGTTTGATTTTCAGCCAGCTATTTCTCCCCTCAGACGAAACTTTTTTAACAATAACTTTTGATTAATACATCGAAACATTTTCTTCTTGCATAACAGCACCAATGTCTCAAGCCTGATAAATTATAAAACAAGCAGCAAAAATATTCGCGTGGTTCTACGTTTAAAGCAGAACCAGTGCTTCTCCAATGACCAATTAGCTTGACCAGAAATCTCACACCACATACGAGATACAAATTTTAATAAAACAAAAAAAAACAAAATATAATCACAATTCTCACAATACAATCACCACTCATACAACTTAATCATGATTCATGTGACGACGATACGTGGGTTTTGGCTTCGGCTCAGCAGTGTAGCGTGTCTGACGCGGTGGTATATAACGCGCCTGGTATACTCAATTAGAAAAGATTGTAACTTCGTACAACTACCTAACAGTTAATTAAGTAAAAAAAAGCCCTATGCCGTTTCTTCAATGTAGATAGAGAAGCAGCGGTATGATAACGGCGATGATGATGATGGTGATAGGTGGCAACGATGTTTTTTATAACGATGATGACAATAAAAATATGATGATGACGACGACTAGGACGACGATGATGCCAGCAATGATGGCCATGATCAAAACTAAAATGATTAGGTTATGAGCGATGATGGTGACAACAAAGACTCAGATAATTTGTAAGATGCTTTCATGTGATCATACTGATAATTGTTTACGGATATAAATTCATTTGAAAAAAAAATTATCTGTTGATGAAATAATGTCTATCGAGATGACGTTTGTGAAAATAATTAAGACAAGGATGTGGTTAGACGGTTGTTGTGGTTATGATGGACGGTGCATCATGAATCATGATGGTCCGCAAACTGCTTCAAACAGCTTTAAACTGTTCATCAGATAACGAGATTCTCCAAAACAAAAATTGCCTAATAATGTAGAAAACACTACAACCACATATACTGAAACATTTTAGAATAAAAATTCTTAATATGTTCATATGCTCCAATGCAATTCTTGAACAGATTTTCATTTCATTTTTCATTATTGTAGTATTGAATCATCATTAATGTAGCATCCTATCATTATGATCACACACACATAATTACTCCATGATTACTCCCAGTCACGGGTTACTTTCGGAGATGATTATTATTCTAACATAAAACAACGCCAGGCTCGCTTAGATATTTACTTTCAAAAACGAAAAGCATGACAGAAATCAAATGAACAGTTCGATATTCAAATGAGGATTAATCTTCAATAGTGATGGTTCAGTTTGATCAATGCACTTCAAAACGGTTCTTAAGGATGCTAATTAATATTACGCTATCAAACAGCTATACAATTAATTACTAATTAATGTTAGATTACTAAACGGTTCTCAATATTACCAATTAATAATACAATACAAAGCGGTACGATACGATACAAAAAATATATTATAATATCAATTACGACACCACTACTCCAAACTAATCCTAATACATACTCTATCACGAGACAATAACCCACATATAAGCTAAAAAAATCGTTTATTTCATTCGAACCCAACGCGCCAATCCCAAAGACCAGGTGCACTAGCATACGACGCAACACAACACAGGAGCTGGCCCACCATCGTACAACTCGTGCAAATATCGCGCTGAGAGCAATTCAACACATTTCCTAACGCCACTTTCTCACTAGCTTCCTCCAGCCGTTGATTTCTCCTTCTCTCCAAAGATTTTCAAAATGGTTAAATGTTGAATGTTCCAAATAAATCTTAGTAGCCAGCAGTAGCAGTTCACTCAAACATAAATAAAATTATTCGATGTGCTTGAGTAAAGGTAAAAATATAAATGAATTGAAGTTAAAGGTACAATTACTTCAAAGAAAACTCAAGTGCATTGATTTCTCCATAAAAACAATTTGCGTCTTTTTTACAAACATTTGGCGTAGTAGAAATTTTTTCAATAACAATAAATTTTTTTTATTACATGCACCACCTACACCTCAAGTACGAGTATTACATTATAATTCAAGTGCAAGTACAGCATTGTTTACTCGGATGCGAAAGAACTATCAGAATATTAAACGAGCAAGCAAATCATAAACATGGATTTCAAATCAATTAAAAATTCAGTCAGCATGTTAAATTTAATGCAAATTGAATTAATAGTAATAACTCTTAATCAATTTCTATAAATATGTACTATCAAATAAAAAACACCAGATGAAAAAATTCCGCTTCCGGATTCCAACTCCCAAAAAAAATTTTCAACATTTTTTTTTTTTGAACAGTTTTATTTACAAAAGTAAAAAGGTTCATCCTAGCAATAACAGAATAAATCTCAACTAATTCAACAGAATTTACACATAACCAAGAATAAAAAATATCAACTGAAAAAATTAAGCAATACATATATATCTAGAATAATTGAAATGAAAAATTAGGGATAACAAAAAAAAGAGAAATTGAGTCAATATTATAATTATGAAATAAAATAAAACAATTTACGTTATGAACAGCATAAAAAATATGTTTTCAATTGTTTTTTGAAAGAATTATAAATTACATAAATTGCATCATAATTCCAACTTATTATCACCACTAAATAAAAAATACTTTAAAGACACTTAAAATCAGTCAATGTAATTGTATTTCTTAGTGAAATTTCTTTACTTGTATGTTTTAAAAAATATTGAAAAAGTATGTATTTTATGTTGTTGTTGTAGTTGTTGACGCCATCACTGATTACGTTGTTGTTGTTGTTTACATTATTAGCATTTGTTTTCAGTATTAAAGATGGAATATTGTAAATTGAAATTTATGTGAGGGAAATCCGGCTCAAATCCGAAATCCGGGTTCATAATTTTGGAAAAATGGCTAAAATCTCCAAAAAAATATTAGTCCATTTAAAATTTGTAGCTACTATTTTTTAAATTTTTTATAGTATTTTCACGTTGTAAGTCTTCAAGTGCAAGTACAATTTAAAGTTGCACGTGCAAGTACCAACATCAAGTGCGAATACTTAAAATTGGTAATCGAGTACTAACGAAGTATCGAACACGAGAACCAACCACATCACTGAAAAGTAGAAGGAATTTCACCGAAATTAAGTAACACTAGAATGAATTACAAAGCAAAAGTTAGAAAAAGGTTCATACGCACGCGAAGTAAAGCATGTTCTCTACAATAAACACAAGTCAAATGATATTCGCATGTGGAATGGATATGGTTACGTCTGTCTCTTCCACAGTTTTTATATTTCCAATCACATCGATATATATATATATATATATATATATATGTGTGTGTGTGTGTGTGTGTGTGTGTGTGAGTGAGTGTGTGTTTGTGTGCGTGTGTGGCGTCTGCGTCTTTGCGTGAGCGTGTGTGTATTTAAATTTTAAATTGATGATCCTCTACATGATTAGCATCATATGAAGCCATAAATTCTGACCTGCGTGCTGGTTGCGTTGATCATAAGGTAATCTGAAAATTAATTTCTCTGTTTATTTCATGCGACGCATTGCGTAAACAAATTGAGAGGGGAGACCAGCTGATAAGATCACCCATTCCCCCCCAATCAAGTGTGCAGGCTTATCGTTTCTCGTTCGCTGCTATCAAATTTTCATATATTAAATTACCATTATCTTTATTTTTTTTTTACTAAATTATCTTTATCTTGCTTACTCTTGTCTGCACTTCAATCGTTCCAATAGTCCCTATCATCATCATCACCATCATCATCATCACAGATCATCACCATCATCACATCATCATCATCGTCGTCATCATCGTCATCATCATCATCACCACCATCATCATCACAGATCATCACCATCATCACCGTCGTCATCATCATCATCATCATCATCATCATCATATCTTCTACTCGTTGTTATCATTATTAATTAACCTGCCAACATCGTCAGTTTGATAAAAATATGATAAATACTGTTTAGCAAAAAAACGAACAATATAGGAACTACAGTTAAGTAATTACTAATACAAGATTATTGTTATTATGGCTGTTGTTGTCTTTTTATTATTATTGATATTGTTATGGTTGTGGCATCAGTGCTAAGTTATAATTGCTAACCGTTATCGGGTTCTTCCACCTTGCCATCTTGATTATAGTCATCAGCTTCTCCTTCATCATCATCAGCTTCTCTTTTATCATCATCATCATCATCATCACCATCTTCAACATCACCATCTCTTTCCTCATCATCGCCATATTCTTCACCAATCATCTTCATCATCCTCACCATCTTCTTATTCATCATCTTTTCTTTATCATCACCACCATCTTCTTCATTACCACCATCTTCTTCATTACCACCATCTTCTTCATTACCACCATCTTCTTCATCTTCATCAACATCTTCTTCATCTTCATCACTATTTCCACCACGATCTACCTCACAATCATCATCATCATCATCAATACCACCGCCATCATCATTACCATATCCTCATCATTATTAATATCATCACCATCTTTCTCGTCCTCCTCCTCTTCCTCCTCCTCCTCCTCCTTCTCATCATCATCATCATTCTCATCATCGTCGTCATCTTCAACAGTATCATTTTCGTCGTTACAAGTAGTTTCATCCTTGTAAATTTTCTTATCGCGAACTCGCCAGTACAGCTGTCTGAGTACATGTGCACTTACAAGCTCCACCTACCAGCCTACATCTTTTCAATATCATTGGTTGCAGAAATACCATCAAAATTGTGTCAAAACAAACAGCTTACAAAAGTGTTTTATAAAGTACAATAAGTGTTAAAATTTAATTTTTATAAAATAAAATAAATTAAACTCAAAAAAATTAGTATATAAAATTTTTTTAAATTTGAATTTTGCTATTAAATCATGAAATTATTTGGTTGAATGTCAATATCGATCAGCTGATCGCAATACATTATCTTGGCACCCCTTAATATAAAAAATGGACTCGTCCTTTGTTAACAGGTACCTATAAAACAGATGATGTCTTCTGCTCTCAATAATTCCAGGGGTTTTGTTGCTTCGATTGCTCTGGTTGTTGCATTGTTGTTGTTGCATTGTTGTTGTTGTTGCATTGTTGTTGCCCAGTTGCACTGTCCTCTTTGATATGTTGAAGTTCGTCCACTAACAACATAATATTCAGACGTACGTACAGTTGCGATCCGCCGCCACACGAGGGGTCAGACGCATGCCACACGCACGTCTTCTTATTGTTGAATGATCTCTGGCGTGTGTAGTTTACTTTAAATCTTATTGTATTGTTAATTTAATATGCAATACATACATCTTTATTATTATTTCCTGAGTTTATTTTGTAATCAGGAAGCGGATTTACCAGTGGCAGTGATGGTTCTGAATAAGAATTTGTCACTTGTTTTGTTAACTTATAAACAAAAATAATTGTCATTATTAATTAAAGAGTATATAAATAAATCAACAAATGTTAAATAATTCAAAGTCAAACACGTCGTATTTCTATTTTAAACTTTAGACTGCAGTCTGATTTAGCTGATAAATCTAGTTTAAAATTAAAAATCTTTATTGACAACTTTTTTTATATTCGTCGACAAAAGAAAAGAAATTAATTGACAATGGCTGAATTGTTGTCGGTACAAATTCAAGTGCCACTTGTGAGAGGTGAGAATGGACAGCTGGTGGAGAGGAATGATGTTCCCTCCCTTTCCCAGCAGTCTGGTGTCAGTCTGCCTCGTCTGAAGAAGGTCGACAATCGTGACGTCATCACATTCGTGCCCTCTGCATTCAGTCAACTGCCGAAAATTAAAGCCATTGATATCGAGTTCAAAGATTTGACCTACTCAGTGAAGGAGGGTCGTAAAAAAGGTTAGTTCCATTGTTTGCTTCATTGTTTGTTTGTTCCATTGTTTGCTTCGTTGTTTGTTTGTTCCATTGTTTGCTTCGTTGTTTATTTCATTGTTAGTTTGTTCAATTGTCTCTTTGTTTTATTATTCAATTGTTTGTTCACTTGTTTGTTGATTCATTGATTCATTTGTATTTGTTCCATTCTTTGATTATTAAATTAATAAAAAATAACATTACAGTTTTGAACTGTTGAGAAAAAAGTACAGACAGTAGACATGAGACAATTTAAATTTGTTTTATAATAATATATTATACTGCTAGTTTGACTAACTGACCAGTTGACCAACTGACTGGTTGTTACTGACTGGTTGTTACTGAGTGTTGTACCAGGCATGGAGAATCAACATGTATTGCCAAATTTTAATTGAATTTGGACATTATTATTACTATTGTTATGGTTTTTTCAAATTATAATTATTATTATTATCACTGTTATTGTCACTATTATTAATTGGTTATTATTTTGAAAATATGTACATACAGGCAAAACTTTAAGCTCAATTTTCACATTTAATTTTTTATTTCTCATTTACATTTATATAAAAAAAATTCTATAAATATGTATATTGTATACATTAGTTCGTAGACTTCTGCTCTTTCTTTCTCTGTTAATTGTGACCTGGCGACACAAGTATTATAGATCTGTTTGGCTGGATTTTTGATCTATTTAATTAATTTTTAAAGAAAGTATCATTTGTTGACATAATTTGTTATGTCAAACACGTGGAACAACGAGGAGATGGTGTAATGGTTAAGGCACCTGGTCCTCCTGATTCAGTGGCCGGGTTCAAATGCAAACAGATTCCTGACTGTCATGTGCCATGTGTGATGTTGTACATACTTAGAAGAATAAATTCACAGACAATTAATAATGATAATGACAATAAAAATATTGTGAACACATCCCTCATTGGCGAACTGTTCACCTATTTATAAGCATGTCAAATAGACCAAACATAAGTGTTTGTTTGCCAACTAAGAATTGTGCATATGTTACAATGCTTGCAAGTAGTTGCCTAATGTAAACAATCTGGTAGCAAGGTGCATCTTTTTCAATTAATTCCTTAAAAAATTAATGATGAGATGTGATGAAAAATGTCATTGACTTGTCTTCATTTCATCTTTTAACCTTCAACTAAATTTTATAAAATTTGGAGCAATGTCATTAAATTTATTTAATGTATTTGTAATGTATTAAATTTATTTACTTGAAGTTAACACGCATTAATTCAAAACATGGTCTTAAAACTCTGCAATTTTGAAATACAGATTTTGTGCAAATGTAAAAAAATGTTGGATGTGTTTTTGAAATTTTATCATTTCATTCACTTGTCAGCTGTGCACACAGTTTAACAAGCACACGTGTAGGTATATTTTTAAATGATGATTTTGGTGATGATGATAAACATGGTGGTGACGATGACGACGACGATGATGATTGTATTCGTGGTGATGAGGATGATTAGATAAGATGAATGATTAGATAAAATGAATGATTTTTGCATTTCTGTTTGACAGCAATGCTCTTTACAAGTGTTATACAATAAGAATGATTAAATTAATTGAAGTCATTTGAGAGAAATAATTGATGATGACAAAGGTGAACTATTAATGAGGCTTATTAAATCCATTGTAAGAAGTTTCAACCGCTCATTCAATGAGGAAAGCTGAACTGCTGATGACAATTAATTAATGAACATTCATTCATTACATGACATAATCTCATGATTTTACTTGTTTATATCTACCCATAGCTTCAAATTGCTTGATAGTCATTTCGTTTTCTGGGAATTGTTTTGTGATAAGTAATTGATAAGTGATAAGTGATAAGTAATTTTGCGTTACTCAATTAAGTAGTTTGATGAATATGTACAGCAACCTGCTGTGTGGTGTTACAGAAATGGCTGAAGGATTAATGTTAATTCTTCGTCTTCGTGAATGAACAACATCAGTTAACATTGTTTTAATCCCTTACATATGTTGCTGGTCAGATGACTTCTACGAATTAATTCATGAAAACTAATAAAAACTGCACTGTTTATGATTTTTACATTGAGTGATGAGGGAGAAATTAATAAGGGTGATAATGGTGATGATCAATTTTCATGGTTTCAAAGGTCAAAAGTTATCTAAATGTTATCTAGTTGTTTAATGTTTAACTAAAAAAAATTTATTTAATTATTTTTTGTAATTTTTTTTAATATTTGAAAAATGTTGTGTAGATGGGTCCAGGTGGAAGAATAAGCAGTTGTATGAATGAAATGGTGAAATGAAAAACTGGAAACAGATTACTGATTTTAAAATGAATAGCAAATGACCTAACAAATGAATTTAACTTGAGGAAATATAAAATGAACAAACTACAACAATGAACATAAGTTTTTACAAAGATACATGAAATAAAATTTTTGCTTTTGCTTTCGTACAGCAGCCATAAGATGTTTAAATTCAAAGCAATAGATCAGCAAGCAGCTTGTATTAAATTTTTGTTGCACATGTGTGTGAGGTTCTGTCATGTGTGATAGTGAATATTTAATAAAACTGCATGCATATGCTTTCATGGATGTTCAACTGCCATCATGGGATTCTTCTAGATACACACTATTAAATTGTGTGTATGTGTGCGTGCGTGTGTGTGTGTGTGCGTGAGAGAGAGAGAGAGAGAAAGAGAGTGAGTGAACAGTTTATTTTTTGTATTTTATAATAAAAAATTCAACCAGATTATATTCAGTCAAGGATGTCAACAATGATTTTTAATCACAATAATAAAACTTATTAATACTCTTTTTTTACTTCTTAAACTTATTAATTAATTCAACATGCTTTTTTAACCTGTACAGCAAACAATAAGCTTTTACTGACTTTGCATGATTTCAAACAGAGAGTGGAGATCTCAATATAATCTCTAACAAATTTACTATCTTTCATATTGATACATTCATTCATACAATTGGGTAAGCCCAAAAGACGCTAGATAAGTCGTGGATCACTAAGATACCACCATTTTAGTCTGTTTGGACCAATAATATAAAAACATGCTGAGGTGGGCATTTATGAAGCAACTTGGAATGTTTGGGGAGAAATGAAAGTTGGAATATTTTGAGAAGAGATGATGGTCATGATGTTTCAAAGTTGTAGCTAATTGGAAGGCTGGTTGAAAACATGGAAGCCAACTGTATGTTGTAAGGAGGAACATGTCTGCCTAACACTCATCATTCTGTTCATGAAATCCTTTTAGAACTGTAAGACACACTGAGATAGCGTTATTTATGTGAAAAACCCAATCGAATATCTTTGAGTTTATTGCTAACCAGATATCATAAGAAAAATAATAAAAAAAGCATAAAAATATTTTATAGTAGTTGATTCACGTGTATCAGTTAGCTTTTTAAGTTTCATTTATTTGGTTTTAATTGATCTGACTACATCTCCATCACTTGCGAAGTTCAGAGCTGATCTCAGGACCCATCTGTTTGTAAAATTTCACTGAGGAGCGCCGTTGAACGTAATAAGCTGATTGATTGATCTTGCATATATATATATATATATATATATATATATATATATATATATATATGTTGGTAACACACATTATATTACAAATTAAGTATATCTAAAATTAATGTCTTAAATATTCTTCTTTCACGCCCCACAACAATTTCTGGCCTAGATCTGCGTGTTTCATCTTGCATTTTTATTTGTTAGCCCTTTTTCAATTCGTTTAGCAGCTTGTCACAAGATATTTTAAAGAATTGAGCATTCAAATTTATTTAGTTTTTAATTTAATAAACATATAACAGATAAAACAAAAGTTTTATTTACAATTATCGTTGTTGTTCGCCTAAACAAAGTTAAATGTTTATCAATCATTGAGATTAGTCCAAGTAGCACTTACCAATGCTCTACCATGTGACCTGCTCTCTCTTTTTCTTTCTCTCTCTCTCTCTCCTCCTCTTCTTCTCTCCCTCCCTCTCTCTTTTTCCTAAAGTGGGTATTTGCTTATCATAAGTAAGACACGTGTAATGTATTTCATAATTTGAATGTGCTTCAACCTAAAATACATATTATATGTATAAAGTATAAAGCGAGATTCGTTGACAAGTGCATGTTTTATCTCTATAGCTACCTGGCCCTTTAACAGTATCTTTAAAACTTCATATTTATAATCTATAATCCATTTTATTTTTATTTGGCAATTAGTAACTTTCTAAATACTAGTTTTAATTTTCAAATTTTCCATAAAAAAATTACTATCTAAAAAAACTGCTTAATCAACAAAACATGCATTAAAGAGTTTGCCAAAGACCATTAGATTAGTTCCAACTCACATATTCACATGGTACATTAAACGTCATTTATTACGTTTCTTTAGTTTGCCTTCATTATTAAAATTCAATTTATTAAATTACTTGGCTCAAATCTCACTCTACAAACAACTCATGCAGGTTTCAAAACAATCTTGAAAAGTGTGTCGGGCAAGATTAGGTCAGGCAATTTGACGGTCATCATGGGACCGAGTGGTGCCGGCAAGTCCTCCCTCATGAACATTCTTGCCGGCTACAGGTTTGCATGATGGAGATCTCAGTGATCAGTTTCAACGAACATCATCCCTCCTCATTTCATTTTATTGATTGTTGTTCATCGTTGTCTGTCGTAACATGTTGTAGTGACGTGTCATGTTTGTCATATTAAATATTGTTTTTTAGATTCATTATATTGGATCATTACCATATTCAAATCATTTTCCACAATATTCAACATATTGAGTCAGCACATATTAATGACTGATCAAATCATCCTCTTTGCATCATCATCTTTTAATTGCCCATTTCAACTACTACAATTACTGAACTGAGATTGAGACTCAAACCTAAGTATACAGTATAATATAATAAGATAATGATTACAACAATGTAAGATGTATGTATGTTATAATATATGTTATATATAAGATCATATATATGATATAACATATCACTATATCTTAAAACCATCTTGCCAGCCAAAATCCTAATGACGAAATTTTTCATTGTTGAAGTTTGAAAATTTCAAGTTATCAGTTTTCATTGCCAAAGTAAAAACTGTTATCTTAAATTGTAATTTAATGCATTATTTATTGGAATGATGAGATGTGAAAGTTATTTATTTAATTTTACAATTTTTGTGAAATTATTTTGAGTAGAACGAAACTAAACTAATTGGTGTTTAATTTTGTAAAAAATTATTTGTAAACTACAAAAACAGATGCAATCAATGCCATGATTTAAATTTTTCTCCCCATAGCATCTCATATTGGGAGATTCAATTTGTTTTCGTTCTTTAAAGTTATTTGATATTCATTTTATCATTTTCTATCACGTCATTAAGAAGACATTCATGTCTTCACTTATCTCCACTAACAAGCCTGTCACTTGCACCACCAACAATCAACATATTCCCTCAATCACCTCCAGTAACAAAATCCATTCATTATTGCAGAATTATTTCATTTCATCACCCACTTCCACTACCAGAACCAATTCAGTCGAAGGCGAAATAACAGTGAATGGAAAAGATAGAGATCCTCGAACATTCCGCAAGATGTCCTGCTACATCATGCAAGATGATAATCTCCTCCCCCATCTCAGCGTCAAGGAAGCCATGATGTGTGCTGCCAACTTGAAACTCACCGAAAAAATGGGCAAGCATGAAAAGCAGGCCATTGTAAGTCTTGTGTTGTGTTCTCGTTCATGTTTAATGGCTTCCTATTGCTGTGATGAATTTGCATTTCTAAAAATCATTTTTGTGGTGAATGGCTTTATAATTTCATTCATTTGAGCGAATGTTCTTATGAATGCCACTCAGTTTGAACTTAAAATTCTAAACAAAAATCACACGTATTTTATTCTGTTGTTTGTTTTTTATTATACAGCTACCTAAATATCAATCTTCACTTTCTTATTAAAAATGTTGATCCTGTACAATTTGCACTAAATTGCATTGCCAATCTTATCTGCTTCTCTTATTTAACAAAACGTTAGCCAGCCATGTTGCACTCTACAATTGTTATATTCTCTTGGGAGACGTCGTGTTTCATATCAACCGTCGCAAATTGATAACATTTTTACCTCTGTGTGACGTAATACGATCGAACATGCAGTCTAGGAATTCATAAGGATAATTTTGGTTATTTTTTTTATGTAGGTAGAAGAGATATTGGAGACACTAGGGTTGTTGGACAGTTTGAACACAAGAACAGAAAAGTTGTCAGGAGGTCAGAGGAAGAGGCTGTCCATAGCTCTGGAACTTGTCAACAATCCACCCGTCATGTTCTTTGATGAACCAACCAGGTTTGCCTGCATATTTTTATTTCAGCCCGTTCAGTAATTGTGAAGTTATCTATTTTTTCCATCTCTCTTTTTAAATCATCTAAAAGAATGTATTTTGAGTAATTCTTCAAATATTTTTTTATTTTTTGAAATAGGTTTTCAACTCTCACTACAATTTAACGATTTCTCATTTTCTTACTCGTTGGTTTTCTAATTGGCTTTGGATGGTTGCTGTTTATAAGCTGAGTATTTAAATAATTGAATAAATGTACGTTGATATGAATAAATGTACTTTGAACACAATCAGTGGGTTGGACAGCCAGTCGTGCTTCCAGTGTATAAGTTTGTTGAAGTCCCTGGCTCTGGGAGGCAGAACAATCATCTGCACCATCCATCAACCGAGTGCCAAACTGTTTGAGATGTTTGACAAGGTATGAACATGAACATTTGAATTTGTTGATTGTATTTGCAGGATGGGGTCTGTTAATGAAATCTATTTAGTGGGGCTTCTTGGAGAATGGCGTTGTAACGTTGGTTTAGTAATGTTGGCTTTTGTTACACCAAATTGAGGTTTTTGTTTTGAAATGAATGGAATAATACTTGTTAATAAATATTATTTTAATATTTCAATTGATCGTTGAATAAGTTTCGTTAAAAATCAAATAATCATCAATCAATTGTAATAATTTTAATGATCTTTTGGTTAGTGAAAATGTCATTCGAACGCCAACAACCAACCTTGCAGTTGTGCGTGTGAATAGCTACACACACGCACACACACAAACACACACACTCACACATAACAAACCTTCAGCTGTACATGTTGGCAGAGGGACAGTGCATCTACAATGGAAACATCCCTGGACTTGTACCATCCCTCGCATCCCAGGGCCTCAACTGCCCATCCTACCACAACCCCGCAGATTATGGTGTGTGAGTTTCTGCTGTTTGATATGTATCCACTTTTTTCGTTTTCGTGTCTGTTATTTTTTCAAACGTGTCTACCGGTGTAAAGTTACAATTTTTTCCTTCATTTCGATACATATTGTCATGTCATCATAAAATAACTTTACGCAGCTTTCAAAAATCTTATTCCCAAAATGGACAATTTTATGGACAACAAACAATTTTTTCCTCATTGTTCATTTTATATCCATTGTTCACACATAATTTCGTTGTTCACATATCTTTGTCCACACATAACATTGTTCATACGTATCAATTTTCACACATATCATTGTTCACATATCATTATTCACACATAGCATCACCGTTCACACTTCGTTGTTTATAAAATACCTGATTTCCCTTGGCGAGATTGATATATAATAATGTCCAAATTCATTTCAACATGCTAAACTTGCTCAATTTATGTGTTTTTATTTATTAATTTCTTATTTCTTAAATATCGTTTTGTGGCGTAATATCAAAGAATTATCATCATCATCATCGTCATCATCATCATCATCATTTGTAACGAAACTAAATTTTGTGACATCCATCAAGTTTTGGTTGACTGCAGCCTAACTCTGTATGCTGCGATGAATTATTATTTCTGTTGTTCATCTCAGCATTTTAAAATGTGGTTGCTATCTAGTTGACGGCACACATGTTTTAAACATCAGACACGTTCATCGCGGTCTCAGGCTTCATCTTCTAATGAAGATTTGACGTACATGCATGGAATAACCTCTAAGAAACAAATTTATTTAAAAATGATCTCAATCACAAGCCGGAAAACTTATTCACATTAACCTGAACTTTACTGCGTGTGTAGTTGAGTCGTAACAAGAGTGCATCCGTTTCCGTCAGTTGTGCTGTTTTAAATGTGCAGCAAATTAAGCAGACATGGTGCCTTCATTTTGCCACCTTAGCATACTATCATATTAATATTTTGATGGATTATTTTAATCAATCGCAAACAACTGCATTATCAACATTGATCGACGACGACAAACACGATCATGATGACATCACCAACAACAAACCCAACAACCACGCCACAGTGATGGAGGTGTCGTGTGGTGAGTACGGAGATGTCATCCCCAGGCTGGTCATGGCCGTGAGGGAGGGCAAGTTCAAGAAGTACCAACGAATCGACAAGAGGATCTCGTTGAAGGCATGTTTCGTGATCATTTGTTGTTGTTGTTGTTGCCGTTATTGTTGCTGCTGCTGTTGTTGTTGTTGCTGTTGTTGTTGTTGTTGCTGCTGTTGCTGTTGTTGTTGTTACTGTTGTTGCTGCTGCTGCTGTTGTTGACTTTTGTTGCGTTTGTTGTTGATGTTGTTGTTGCTTAGTTATGATCACTAGCTTTTATATATATATTTTTTTCAAATTAATTCTTCCATATTTCTCTTTATAGAACTTTTTAATAAAATCAGAAGCGTTAAGCTTTAAATTTTTTCAATTATAGTTGGCAGTATCCAAAAATTTCAATTATACTGAATGAAGTCTTCTTTTACTGAATGTATAATATTCAGATGTTTTGTTGTTGTGTTAATGTTTAGTGGGAATACGGTTATGGTGTGGTGATGTTATGGTGTGGTGATGTCATGGTTTGGTGATGTTATAACATTTTGTTTGGAAATTATGTTGTTAAGATGTTATGGTGTTTCGATATCTTTATAAGCTAACATTGATTTAGCCTGAGACATTTCCTACAACTATCTTCTTAACCAATCCAACCAACAGACGAATTACTTGCACAAAGAACACGCCAGCCTGCCTGCATTCACTTCAGTTCCACAGACACCAACCAGCTTCTGTGAGAACTTGAAGTCGAGCTGCAACATTCTGCACGAAGATGCCATTGCAGCTGCAAAGAACTGCAACAACTGCAAACTGGCTGGCAATCATTTTGATGAAGTGGAGAAGATCAAGCAGCTGATGAGCGGCTACCGTCAGGAAGACGACTCTGAAAAACATTCCACCTTAGATAAAAATACTGACGTTGCCACTGAGGTTGGTTGGTTGGTTGGTTAGTTGTTTGACTGGCTGGCTGGCTGGCTGGCTGGCTGGCTGGCTGGCTGGCTGGTTGGTTGGTTGGTTGGTGGTTGGTTGGTTGGTTGATCAGTTTGTCAGTTGGGCCGCCTAGATAGGGTTAGGTTAATTGGTTGGTTGGCTGATATTATCATTAGTTCAGACAGTTAGCAAATTTTTGTTTGAAATAATCTTTAATTTTTTTGACGAATGGTTGTAGAGTAATTTAGATTATTTTGTTTGTCCCAATTGTTACATATCTAAGGTATGTTTATTATGCAGTCTTCCTATGAATACGAGTGCCACACCTTCGCCACCAGTTGCTTCACGCAGTTCAGAGTCCTCTTCATACGCACGTTCATATCCATTATGCGAGATGCTGTATGTTTTTTGTTTGGTTTTTTATTTTACTGCTCCGACACTTGGCAGGCACGTTTAGGCGCGCATGAAACCAAAACCTCCACACTATGCGTATTAACATAAACGTAAACGCTAGAGCATATTTTGACTATCCGGTCATATTTGGATATCTTACAGCGATATACAGATGAGACCGGATAGTGAAAAACGGCCGAATGTCGTGCCAGTATCATCAAACAAACTTGATTAACATAAACTAAATTTTGGCAGAGGAAATTTTATTAAAATACAATGATAATATTAATATCCTACATGTAATTTATTTTTTGATAAAAGTTTATAATCTGCACGCACGTGATCACTTGCAGACGTTAACTCGACTTCGCCTGTTCTCACACGTGGTCATCGGCATCCTCATCGGTCTGCTCTACCTCAACATCGGCAACGAGTCCTCGAAGGCCTACAACAATGCCGGCTGTCTCTTCTTCTGCATGCTCTTCCTCATGTTCACCGCTCTCATGCCCACTGTCCTCACCTGTTCGTATTTCATTCCTCCTTTCATACTTCATACCTGCTTTTCCTTCATCTCTTATTTCTCATGAATCATAATGACGTCATTAATGATTTGAGTTTTATGTTGAAGTGTTCCTAATGGTTTTGCCACGCTTTTATTATTATTTTTTTTCATTGTGGTATGTTCCATTTTAGTTCAAAATTGCTTTAAAACTAATTTGATTAGTAAATTTTTGAATTTTCAAAAAAAAATTAATTGCAAATCTGCAGTCCCGATCGAAATGGGTGTGTTCATTAGGGAACATTTGAATTATTGGTACAGTCTGAAAGCTTATTACCTGGCCAAGACCTTAGCCGATTTGCCATTCCAGGTGCGTCTGATTTGTTACGAGTTACCATTCCATCATTTTCACTTATTTAGCGCAATTTCCTCAGCGATCAAGGACGTTTATTAACATTGGAAATACACAGAAAGAGATCATACAAACAAATAAAACAAACAACTCAACAAACAAACAAATCAACTTACAAACAAACAAATCAACAAACAAACAAATCAGTAGAATAAACAAACAAACAAATGTTTACCTGCCAGATCATCTTTCCAATCATATACTGCAGCTTTGTTTACTGGATGACCAACCAACCTAATGATTTCTTCAGGTGAGTTTTTTTTTAGAAATTTTTAAATCTGATCTCTTTTTAATTCCATTGTTTATATTATGCACTTCGGTATTATTTAATTCATAGTGATTCTTAAGTGATAGATCCGTTGGAATAATTTGTTAAATACATTCAAAGTTACAATTGCTCGTGGCTCATAAAAGTTTCCTGACAAACAACACACACCACACACACACACACACACACACACACACACACACACACACACACAACATTCACAACAGGTTCTCGATGTTCCTGTTGTTGTCAGTGCTTGCCTCGCTGGTTGCTCAATCGCTTGGTTTGCTGGTTGGAGCGGGAACATCACTACAGGTTTCATTTTTTTTGTGTCAAAAATATTCACGTTCCAATTTAATTAATTAATTTATTCATTCGTAGGTGGCCGTGTTTCTCGGGCCCGTGACAGCCATACCCGTTCTTCTCTTCAGCGGCTTCTTCGTCAACTTCGAAACTATGCCCAAGTACCTGCAATGGCTCTCCTACATCTCATACATCAGGTTAGAAAAAACGTTAAAGTGTTTACTTTAGCAATAATTTCATTATTTCACATTGTTTTTAAACGTGCACTGAAATGTTTTCTTGAAGGTACTCCTTCGAAGGCACCTTACTAGCAATATATGGATTCGATCGAGAGCCTCTGAACTGCAACAAGGACGACACCTTCATGTGCCACTTCAAGGACCCGAAAAACATTCTGAAGGAGTTGGATGTGGAGAACGCCAACCTGACCATCGACATTGTCATTCTCTGCGTCATATTTCTTTTGTTGCGAGTCGGCTGCTACGTAGTTTTGAGATGGAGGGTTAAAGTTCATTGATTCCAAACTTCTCACTGACGGGCTTCTAAAATTTTTATTCTCCTTAATCATAATTTTTATCGTTAGTATTGATGCATCACTGTCATACATCTTTCTACCTACGTGACAAGTGTGTGTGTGTGTGTGTGTGGTGGTGTGTGTGTGGTGGTGTGTGTGTGTGTATGTTTCTTTACTAGTGTTTGTGTGAGTGTGTGTATATTATATACGTGTAATAATGTGTTCTTACGTATAGTATTAGGCGATAAATTGTTAAGAGCTTTAACGTACTAACAAAATGGTAAGTAAAGTTATTGCTAACTGCAAGCATAATAACCCATGTCATCTAACCCTAAACTTCATCCACATGATGTTTTCACACTGGTTGCTTCTACTTACTTTTGTTTTTTCTTAATTTATCCATTAGTTGTAAATATTAAAATAGCTTCTATATATCTATATAATATATATATATATATATATATATGAATATATACATATATATGAATATATACATATATATATATAAATATATATATATCCATTACTTAATGTCAGAAAGAGATTAAAACCACATTGATAACGTTAATAAAATTATTTATTTAATCAATTGAATGAGCATAGACTTCCCGTTGGATATTTGTTGCCACTAACGGTCGCAGCACAGCATACTCTATTGTGATATTCCATCGTTTTTATTAATATTGTCATTTACTTCTTTCATAAAATTTATTGAATTCAAGTGCTACAGACATTTGTAGAATGCAATGAAGCGCGCGTTTTAAATATTGTAGATAGAATCCCATGGGCGAGAAATGCGGTTCACATTTTGTAGTGGAGCTACCTTGGATCTCGAGGGCCGAGCTCGAATAGTCAAATCTTGCACAGCTTATTGAATCATGATATATTATGTTCTTCAAGTTTGAGAGTTCAGTTATATCGCCGCTTCCAAGTATTCATTCAATACACCTGAAGAAAAATGTTTCAGTTCCATGCTCACGATTCGGAGTTTGATATCACAGAATCACGTACATAGAACACATTTGCATTACACTTTTTCATATTGTTACACTTTTTACTTACTTTACTCCTTGGACATTTAGATACTGCAGTTATATCGTCACTTTGTTCAATGATAACGTGCGCATTGCGTCATTTGATCGTAAAATTAGCAGACGTCTTCCTCATTATCGTTACCGCGTGGTCACCAACATCTCGATGCTTCATTAAATATATGAAAAATAAAAGAATAATGTACACACATACGTATCGAAATGATCATTCACTCACGTTCACTCGACCCACCGTCTTAATATACTTCTACACTGCATGCATACCATTGTGTTCACATTTTATTCATAGTCATTAATTCGAAACAAATAAAAAAACAAAAAATCGTAAATGAAAAACGAATTGAATGAATGGAAAGTACGTTACAAAAAAATTAATTCGTAAAACCCAACAGACGATCCCGCCACCAAATATTAAAGAAATTAAACTGTTGGAGACAAAAAGTGAAATAATCTGCGAGCGATGTACAACAGCGTTTGAAAGAAAATGGTCTTGAAAGAAGAACACTTGCACCCGATGATGAAATCTACTCTACTGGACCATTCCCTACTGCACCACGTGCTCAGGAGCTTGCAAGAAAAATTAACAACTCGAATGAAGCAATTCATGGAACCCAACGTTCATTCATTCATTCATCTGTATTACTATTGAAGAAATAATAAAAAAAACATAAACAAAAATGCCAAGATAACATAGAATAAAAATAAATTCGTTTTCATCTGGACAGGGCGTTTGAAATTTTATGCACACCTCTTCCACGGCGATGAGGTTGGCGTGATTGATGATGAAGTAGCAAGTGGTGCAAGTAGTTGTTGTTCGTTGCGTGTTGTGACCGGGTTGTCGCCGTTGGTGGCCATGTTTGTTGCAAAGGAGGAAGCTGATGGTGGTCTGTGTGGCGGCTTCATGATCACGTCTGATGATTCTTCTTTCTCAGGCGCGTTCAACAGTTTCTCTCCTGTCGACTGTTAATGATGGCGGGTTGTTGTGTGTTGGGTTGTTGTTTGGTGGGTTGTTGTGTGGTGGGTTGTTGTGTGGCGGGTTGTTGTATGGTGGGTTGTTGTGTGGTGGGTTGTTGTGTGGCGGGTTGTTGTGTGGTGGGTTGTTGTGTGGTGGGTTGAGGTGTTGGTGGGTTGTTGTGCTGATAAATTGTTAAATCACGGGATCAAGAAAATAAAAAAAATAAAAACAACAAGATATAATATATAACAAAGCAATGAAGCGAGCGTATAATATATTGTAAAATAACAACACTTTGCACCTAATGTTTAATCAATCTTTTGAAAAGTTAATTAAGCCTTCAACGCAATGTACTGAAATTCTGTAACTACAGTTGCAACTACAATGGCAACAGCATGAGCAATGTATCGGCGTTGCAAATGTCAGCTGCACCATTCACGCAAATGCTCGGGAGGGTTTGTGAAGCCAAATGATAGCAATGAAGCATGCTGACGAAATGAAAGACAACAATTGTGATGACGCACACACACCATGCACCGACCTCATCCACTCGTTTCACCGCCCCCTCCATTTTGGTCTTCTCCCGCTCGTACTCTGCCAGCACATCATCCAAGTTGTACCTGCGCCTGTAGTTGATGAAAAAACTTCGAACCAACGTTTCAGACTTGTTGCCGATCACTTCCGCTATCGCTTTGAAGTTCTTCCCATACTTGCGGACTCCTGCGTGCAAGATGTCGGAATGTTTATAAGTTGAATACAAATATCGAGTGTGAATACGGCGATGCGGTGGTGCAGTGGTTATGATGCCTGGCACTACTGCTGAAGTGGCCAGGTTCAAATGTAAAGAGATTCCCAGCAATCACATGCAATGTGTGCGGTGCCTTCGTTCAGGTTATTTACTTGCACTTGTGTTTGTTGTTGACACCTCTCTCTAATAATAGTTCTGAATGCTAATTTGTGCAGCCACAAAACGATCATTAAATTCAGGTAGGAATACATAGCAACGTTGAAGAAACATCCACCAACACCATCACCACCACCACTACTACCAGCCAAACAAGACAAGCAAGCAAAGCAAGCTAACCTTGGACTGCTAGCAACAACTCCTCATTGGTCCACTTTCCAACAGGCTTTGTTGAGCTCTAGTGTGATTGATATGAAATTTTTATTTAGCAGACTTCAAACAAATCTTCTTAATTATAAAATGACTGGAACTTGCATATGAACTACATCAATTTGGAGAACATTTGAAATAACTTTTCAAGAACAAACCTCTGACAAGCGGTAGTTTGCAAGGCCTCCTTTGGTCTTCTCCTTCAAGGCACTTATGAACTGCTTGTTCCTTTGCACCTGTTCAACAATCAGCCAGATGGAGGTTGGGTGAAGTCACGTGCACATTGCTATCACATAAGCATGACCAACAATAACAGCCAAGAAGCATATCTGAGCCATCAAAATAAAATGGTTAACCTGTTTCCTCAGATTAACAAACTCGACGTCCAGTTTTCTGAGCACGAGGTCTGCCTGGTTGGGCGGTCCCAATGCGATGAGTTCCAGTGCAGCCTCGTTCAGGTGGATGCCTCGAGGGGGGCGTCTCTTGTTTCTCAAGTGGGGATCGTGCAAAATTTTACGCGAACCAAACCCCGCCTTGCCTGTGTTTGTGTTGTTGTTGCTGTTGTTAGCAGCTTGTTGCTTGTTGCCGGTCGAGGTTGCGTTCGTTGCTGCTGATTTTGAATCATCCTTCTGTGAAGTTAAAAAAAATTATAATAAAATAATTGAAGCTTAACACTTTAAAGTGAGATGAAATAATTTTCAAAGCCCAATAAAATGGGACAAATACGTTTATGTAAGATTGTCATTCATCTAACCTGATCCTTGGAAGTGCTGAAATTTGTGTCGTACTCATTATCGCTCGAGGCATCCGATTCATCGTCCTCGCTACAACATTTTGAAATTGAATGATGATGATGATCAATTAATCTTTATAGCATAATAAGAAGTAATTTGGAAGACGAAATTATTATTGAGTCACCGATCAGCCATTCTCATTGTCTCCAAACGACGCGCCATTGCCGACTTCTTCACCCTAATGTACACACCAAACATCTATTCAATCCACACTAACTGATCAGCAACAACTATTAACTGATAACATTATTAAAAACTTTGAACGTAAAAGAAGTCCAAGAAGCACAATGTTTGAAAAAAGAGCAAACAACAAATAATGAAAACATTCGACATCAACATCAACTAGCCAAACAACCAATCAGGCACCAACTAACCAACCAACCTACCAATTAATCAGCTAATTAAAGAACCAAACAATCAACCAACTAACCAATCAGCCAACCAACCAAACTGTCAACCAACTAAAAAACCAATCAAAGAAGCAATCAATCAATCAATCAACTAAATCAACCAACAATTGATCAACCAACCAGCTAGCCAACCTGTATGTTCGTTTGTTGTTGACCTTGTGAACCTGCTTGTCAATGAGACTCATCCTCAAACGAGATTTCTTCCATGAGTAGTAGTACTTCACAAGGCTGCCTACCGTCTTGTCAGGCAGCTGAACAACCAATCAATCAACCAACCAATCAACCAATCAAGTGAACATGCAAGTGAACATGAATGCGAATACACGAATGAACAAAAAATTGAATGCATAAGTGACAAACAGGAATATCTTTATTAGTACCAAATAACTGAAGTGATGTAATTTCATGATGGGATGGAAGAAATAATTTTTAGTAAAAAATTCTTGCCAGATTTCAATCATTCTGTCGTACAAAATGAAAAGTAACAAATCAATATAGAGCAAAAATATTGAAGGCCAAAATAAATAAATAATTAATTAACTAATTAATTAATATGCAAACCATAGATTTGATCTTATGAAAAGTTTTGCCATGGAAACTGAAAGCCTGTTCAAAGAGTACTTTATCTTCGGGTGACCAATCTTCTGGGAAGGGGGTGAAGTTGCTGAGATCCTTCAGGGCCTTCTCGATGTTGTGCTTGTGCCAGAACAGCATGCCCAGTGCCTGTGTGCGGGCAGTAAACCAGTTCTTATTTTGCATTATGACAAATACGATGTGAATGCGTATGGTGTGATGAGATGAATCATCATTCTTATCATGGAATGATGTTCACTTATTCATCCCTCATCTTCAAGACATAACCCAAGAGAGAGTTCAGTCGACAATTATTTTTTAATGTTAAAGTTAGAATTTATTTGAATATTTAAACTTGTTGAATAAATTGGAAGCATCAGCATGAAGCAGAGACTTAGATGAGAAACAATGAATGTTTGAACAGTGAATAGTGGCATAAATTTAACGAGATAATCAAGAAGAAAAAAGTAAAAGTTGAATGATGAGGGGAAGTGAGGGAACCTGTTCAGCGTTGTAGCCATGCTTCTCTTTCGCTTCGTTCGTGTACTCTTCAACTTTTATTTTTCAATTTTAAATTTTTATTACAAATATCATAAGACAGTTAATAATGTTGTTCTTTTAAAATTATTGTTGCCGACAATGTTAGTAGTATTAGTATTATAATTCAGTTTCTAAAATGAAATGAAACAAGAAAATATTTGTCAAACTTTGAGCATCGGCGAAATGATCATAATTAGGCGACCAAACAAGCATGGCTTCGTGTTTTGTCTCTGGCTTGGAACCTGTGTGGAATAACATTTGAATCAACAATTAGAAGACACGAGCTGAATAGAATATAACAAAATGACGGAACTAGCGAGAAACCAACTTGGAAGGAACTCAGGAATGACTGCTTGGTACTCTGAGCCAACCCTCATCCCATTGTCTGGAAATAAAAAATGCTTCTTTGCAATGCACTGTTTAGTTTTGTTCATCGCTTCAAACATTAAACAAATCATTTTAAAAACTGATTTTAGACGAAATGATGACAAGCATTAAACAATTAGGTACAGTAATGATTTATGAATTCCTGGAATGTGACTACTTCCTCTTTCAAAAACAATGCAACCTCTCAGCGAAGTGTATTTAATTTAAAAAGTTGATTGACTGCATTTGAAGCATGTGAAGCTACTTCAAGTATCTCCTCAACAAATTATAAAACATTGAAAGTATTAGGATGTTAGTTGAACCAGTGCAGTGCAGATGACTTAAGTGGATGCTTTCATAGTGCTCAACAGAGGATTTGTGCAATGTGCATGTGTGTGTGTACAGGTCTGTATATATGTGAATGTATATCTGCTTATGCATGCAAGTATGTATTTGAGTGCATGTACGTATGTATTTGAGTGCATGTAGGTATGTATGTGTGCAATGTATGAAGAATGAAGTGTGTGTAGAATGTGTTTAACATATGCATCTAGTTCCACTGAAGCCAAAAACGAAGTCATATTTGCTAAAGAGAATGAAGATCAAATGTACAGTAAGACAAAAAAAAGTTGTTTGGTGGTGCATGGTTGAAGATTGTTTATGCAGTGGTGGATGATGTGTTTCTGTTAAAATGAGGATGAAGTTTAGAGAAGGTAAGTTTAGAGAAGGTTGAAGGGTCGAGGAAGGAAGACATCTTCGAATGAGCTGGACGCATACATGTGGAAATCATTAATATCATCATCATCGCTTATAATCATCATCATCATCACCCACCTTTGCCATCATCACCCTTAATTATTAGCAACCCTCATAATCATCTTTATAATCATCATCATCATCATCAACCTTCATCATCATCAGCATCTCCATCGGCATTCCTCGTCGTCCTCTTTCTGATTGGTCCCTCATCAATGTGCTTGTAGTTCTTCTCGCCTGCCACCACCACCATCATCTATTCAAAGCTGAAAGGAGAGCAGCCCATTATTTTAATAATAGGTTTATCGTTAATGCATAGAAATTTTTACTAATTAAATAAGTAATTGCCTCCAATCTATTTCTAGCTGGTCTGTGTGTCAATTTGATTTGTGTATCATTTTATAATTTAGTATTGTCTATCAGTCTATATATCTATTCAACTACATTACAGGTTGCTTGTGTTTATTTAAATTTTTTATTTATTATTAAATTGAAATTGCAACAAAAAATTGAAAATCATCAGATAAAATATTTAAGAGAATACAAAATGATAAAAAGTTATCAGATAAAAAGTTAGATATCAGTTAGTAGTGAATTACAGAATGAAATGATTGATTGATGGTTTACTGATTGACATTGATTGGTTGACTAACAAGAACTTGAACTTTATATAAAATAATAAAATAAATTTATTGGTAAGTTTAAAATTAATAAATAAATTAACACAATTACTTGAAATTAAAATAATTAACCTGAACACTGCGCGATTTAAAGAAGTTAATAAATTCAAAATATATTTTTGGCACTATTCCAAAATCGTACTTTTAAACGAATCAAAACAAATATTCAGCGGCTTCGTACTGATACACGATTTAAGATTTCTGAAAACACAAAGATCTTTATGATATTATATACATACATATACATAGATATATAAAAAATATAAATATATAGAAAGTGTTCCTTAATAATTTAGGATCTTTGATCACATCACATAAATTTTATTCAATCGCTAGAAATTAATTTTATTGCAGTATAATTTTTTTCAAGTTACAATTTGTTTGTAATAACAATGCGCCTCAATCGCTTTCCATAGCGCTATACAAAATGACTTTATTATTATTATAATTTTCAAAACTTTATTATTTGATAAAATTTACCAATTTTTAGCTTTTTAAAATAATATATAATTATATAATAATATCCATGGTAATGACAAATAAACAGAAGCTCGTCATGGCTTGTATGGTCACTAAAAAATAATGATAACAACAATGTAAATAAAAACCAATTTTTGGATTTTGGGCGGTGCGATGATTTCTAACTTACCTATTATATATTGTATCATAATTATCTATTTAAGAAAAATAAATTTCATTGTCTTAATTTAAAATTAATAAGAAAATTATTGGTGTCAATGATGAAGAGTATAGGACCTATTCTTGGTCTCAACTGAAAATTTCATTTTTGTATTAGCTTTCCATAACATTGTCAACACGTTCTTAGTATAGTTAGTTACTTGTTTACACGAAAAGCAAGACTTAAGTTACTTTTTAAATTTCGTAACTGGCCGTACAAACGAGAATAAACGTTTGACGTTTCGAGTAAGTAAGACCTTCAGTTTTGTGTTCTAGAGTGAACAATTATTTTGTTGCTGCCGATTACATTACTGTTGGCATAAATTATCAAATAATGACAAAATTTTATTTTTCTAAATTTTTTTTATAAATAATAATTATTATAATTTTATATTATATTTTTTATTTACTTTTTTATTATATTATATATTATAATTATAAATTATTATTATAAATTATAATAGAAGATAAATTATAGCCATAGTCACATAGTGCCTATCCTTGGCTCTGTCATCTGCTTACTTACATGTTATTACAAAGACTATGCTATCCACACATATACAATTATACATGATGACACAGATATTATTTGTCAGTTAGACATACAAATTCAAGATGTGACACTCCTACCGACTGAGCTAACTCAGTGACCTGACCTTCTTGATTTGATTTGATTAATTGACAAATCTTTTTTTTAGTTATTTTATTTATAATACTTTTATAGTTTATATTTATAGTAAAAAATGAACTTTATACTTTTTAATTTATATTATGGTAGCTAGTGCCACTGTTCTGTTATTTTATTATACACATATTATTTTATATATTATTAATTAAACCAAGTGACCACAATCAATCGGCAATTATGGATTTGATTATTTTGCTTACATTTTATAATTTTTTTATTTTATAACAAACAATAATGATAATGTAGAAATAATAGTATATGTCATGTACTTTTAAGTAACTCTCTATAGCTAATTTATTAAAGCTTCTACTTACGAGTAGGTCGCCTAGTATTTGAGGTGCATGAAGTTAACCTCGTTGGCTAAATAGCCTTGAATATGTGTTCGAAAGTTGTGCAATTCTGTAGCAATGTAGTTTAAAAAATGAAATTTTGCCCAAATTGTAGTCAGCGGTGCCAATAATTAAATAGAATGGTGATAGAATTTTTTGTAAGGTATTACCAACTTATTTATTATTAATTATTTAGCATTTACCTATATCATTTCCATCCTCTACATTAGTCTTTGTGTTGAAAAGGCTGCAAACGATGTTATGATTATAAATCATGTTGTGATTACACTTTATGACCATAGCATCATTAAATTATTTTGCAGCCTTTATGTTGGTGAGAAAAATACTCAAAAAAATTAATGATTTCATTATCATTAAGAAAAAAGACTGAGCTTTGAGAAAGCAAAACATACTTCAGTGACAAAAATGTTGCATGAGAAATTGAGTAAACTACAGATACATCCAGTGCAGAATTAGAGTTAATTGTTACTGTAAGAAGATAACAAGGATTGTTATTTATATACTGTAATTGTAACTTATGTTATCTATGTAACTTTTGTCAGATAGCAGTTTATAACATGATATACCAAAGTACAAATATGAGACAATGGTTTGAATCACTTTTCGCATTTCAGACATTGTATTGAAATTTATATACAATTACTTTGTAATAGACAGACTCCAATTGCATTATGCCAGCAAAGAAAAATAGTGGAAAATTGAAAACAGATGAGGGCAATTCATCAAAAGCTGAAAATGCTGCCAGTGGAGGTAAGCAGAGCAAAAGTGGCACAGCTGTTAAAGTAATTATACAGTTATTACTTCATGTTCGAATACTCTTTGCATTAGAAGAATACAATTACTTTATTGAAACCAAATTTAGGTTCGTCACATTCTCTGTGAGAAACAGTCCAAAATCTTAGAAGCATTAGAAAAATTGAAGGCTGGAGAAAAATTCAATGAAGTTGCTTCCAAATATAGTGAAGATAAAGCTCGTCAAGGGGTGAGTTCAAATAAGATTAGTAAATAAAATACAAGTTGCCTTTTGTAACGCGAGATCTAAATTAAAATTTTTGGGACATAGTAAATTTGAGTTGGATTGATTGTTCATAGAAAGGGGTTTACATTTAAATTTTATTTTATTTTACCTTAAAACATTTATATGCAAATTAACATCTCATTAAATAATGAATTAATGTCAATTGAAAAAATAAATTTAGTATTTTAACGGTACTTGTCAGCAGAGTGTCGGAGCCGGATGATAAATATATGACCTCTCAAAAAATTTTGATACCTACTCTGCCCCTCAAAAAATTCTGACTCAGATTCTGGGTTCCTACTTCCATAAAAAATTTTCAACTTTTGTATCATAATTTTACCTTATTATCACGACTTAAAATCAATCAATGTAATGTTATTCTTGGTGAAATTACCTCATTTTACGATTTATCTTCTAAAAAACACAATCTTAAAAAATAATTTCAGAAAAAAATTCCTACTCTGACACTTTGCATATCAGATAACACGTGTGAATTTTACAAATAATGTTTTGCAGGGTGACTTGGGTTGGATGACACGTGGAAGCATGGTCGGTGCATTTCAAGATGCAGCATTTGCTTTACCAGTTAGCAACTTACAAAATGCCATCTACACAGACCCTCCCGTTAAAACAAATTTTGGCTACCACATAATCATGGTTGAGGGCAAGAAATAACATCTACTATTTTGTTATTAATCATTATATTCATTAAGACTAACTCTAAATTATTTGAAAAAGTGTATCTTTGGGCTTTCATGCAACACAACTAAATTGATTTAACAAAATAAATTGGTGTTAAAATTTACACAATTTAATTTTATTTATGAACACGCATGTACATAGTACACACACACACATATACATACATATATATATATATATATATATATATATATATATATATATATATATATATATATACAATACATGTGTGCAGTATGCATGTATGTTGAGAATTCACACATGTTTGTAAAAAAAAAGAAGCACTAAACGCACACATACGAACAATCATAAATATCATACGTTCACCATTATTCTGATAAGATGTAAAAAGGTGATAAGCTGTAAAATAAATTAGAACATTTCAAATTTTCAAAATAAAATTATATATACATTGATATATTCTAAACAAACTAAAAAAATTAGTAGAAAAGAATATGACACAGTTTTTATACAAGTCTTCTTTCTATTTACTTGCAAACAAAAGAATCACTTTGCTGCTTCTTTCCATCTGTTTCTGACAAAAATTCCAATGTAAATTTTCATTTGAAAAAGCCATGAAAACTTTTTACGTTTGTCTAGGAAACCTTTTGCTTTTTGGCTGGAACGGATTCATCTGTAAAAATTAAACATTCGCTAATAAAGAAATAAACATTACAAACTTTTCTGAAAATTTGTTGCACCACAAATTAATGTTAAATTTCGTTACTTTTTGGTAATCAAATCTTCTGGTCATATTTCAATATTAATTGAATAAAATACAATTACTTTTCCAGTTCCTTCATACGTGTTATATATAATATATATATATATATATATATATATATATATATATATATATATATATATATATGATTGCGACAGTTTCAAATCTGGATTCTGACTTAAATAAAAATAAATGCCAAAAATATAACAATGCAACTCAGTGATCAACTTATTCTGTAACAATTGAGCTCACATTCCAGTTTTCTGGTTTATGCTGATGTAAGCTTGGTACAGCCTCTCCTTAAACATTGATGCAAGTTTTGCTCTTTCATTTACGCTGACTCATTAAATATCAAACAAGAAAAAAACTGAAACAACTGTAAAAAAAAATTATGCAAAAATTCGACTATCAACAAGAACTTCTAAACTTGTAGCTACCAAGTAGCATTGAAAAATTCAATGAAACAAATAAATTGAGAGAAAAATAAAACATACAGTCTCCATTAATTTTTAAATATTTGAAAGCAATAAAAAAAAATTATGCAATATTTTATTACATGTATTATGATATAAAATAGCAAGTAAAAAGTATAAGTTTTTATAGTTTAGATCCATCAACCACACCATATTTAACCAAAGAGCTTCCACATCTTTGTAAGCTTTACATGTAATTGAAATTCATGGAAAAATACAACAAATAATAAAAAGCATACCTGATGAAATAGAAAGTTCAAGTGTATCGTCACTGAGGCAATTTCTGTCATTTTCAATCATGTCCTTCTTGTCGACTTGTATGTCATCATTTGATTCATCTGTTTCTCTCAAAACTAAAGTCTGACTCAAATTGTTGCTTTTGTGTCGTCTCAGAGTTGGGGTGCTTTTGTTTTTTGGCAATTTACCTTGATTATCTTGCTTAATACTTAGAGATATTATTTGAATTTTAGTTGTATTGCTTGGTTTGCTCTGATCTGCATGTGATTCTTTGCTGATGTAATGTTCTCGCAAAGACGTTCTCCTAGGTTTGTCTGAACATTTTGATGGTGTTAACTCAAGAGCAAGTTCAGTTTTTTTTATCGTTCTACCAGATCTTCGAGGAGTTTGTATAATGTTTCTTGTTGATGTTGTTGTTGATGATATAGTACTGTTATCATTTTTTATTTCTTTAAGACTTATATTTGTGGTAGGTGTTAACACAACCAGGGGCTCAATGGAGTTTGATAGGCAGTTTGTCGTTGTTGATGAGCATGCAGGCATACATTTGGCTTTATTACTACTTCTTGTAGACATTCTAGTTACATTTGAATTGTTTATATCATCAACTAAAGATTCACTTTTATTTTCATGTGCTATCATATTATTTGAATTATCTTTTTTTGATGCAACGGCTTTTCTTTTTATTTTCTTATTATTGGAGAGATTAAAATTGCCAAGATTATTTATGTCATGTTTATTTTCTGTGCCATTCTCTTCCAATGTTTTTCCGCTTTCTTCAGATGTATTTTCATTTCTACTGGTAAGTAAATTTTGATGCTCAGGACCATTAGCATTTCCATTTGAATCTTCAGCAATTGGCAGACAAACAGTGTTAAGACATTGTTCACTAGTTTTAACTGAATTAATTGTCAAATAGTCATTCTTAATCAAATCGGATACATCTTTTAAATGCGCTTGCTGTTCCAATGATTCTGAATCATCCTCCCCAATCAGCATTGCCTCATCTATATCACAATCATCAATGTTGGAAGCAAATGTACCTGCCAGCCTTTCAATGTCATCATAATCTCTGGAAGCTATAATGCTGTCCAAGTGATTTTCGTCTTCCACATTAAATACAAAATCAAAATCACTAGCATCAACTCCTCCTAGCAAGTTTCTATTATCATTATCTAGCTCCAAAACATTGGGCACTTTTTCACAATCATTGACTTCTTTTGAATTTATTTCGTAAGAGTTATATTTTGCATGACTTGACAATATATCTTCAGAAAGAGAATTAGAAAAATTAGGTGGAGAGTAGGTTGACAAAACTTTATGGATAGGTAATTCAACCGAAGCTTGAACATCGACAGACCAAGTTTTAACTTGCAAGGTACTTTGAAGTGTTGATGTTGGTTTAAATTTGACACTTGAAGACAAAGGAGAGCATGGAGGAGAATTATGAAAGTCCAGTCCTCCCATGACTCTTTGTACAGATTCCGTTAAATTGTGTGGATACCCAGGCGAAGTTATTGGCATTGGCAGAGGATCTAATGAAGCTCTTGTCAAAGAATTATAGTTTGGTTTTGTGGGATAACATCTGTCAGAATAAGGCATCGCAGGGGCTACAGTCATTTGGATGGGTTTTTGTAGTTTGAGGTCATTGTTGTCATCAGCACAGAAATGTTGAACTATGGAAGGGTTTGAATTAGTTGTGCTAATGCAGGCATCAATAGAAACATCTGATTTTAATGAGGCAGAAGTAGGTAACGAAAGCTGATTGTGTTTAGCTATTTCAACTTGCTCTAACAATTGTGCGACAGTTAAGTTAGCTTTTGATCTTTGAGGCAGAGAATCTTCAGTGCTTTTGCAAGGCTTTTTCATAGGAGGACATTTAGATGAGTTGTTAGAATTTGATGCTTGCAAACTGGTTTCTGTCTCATTATATGTTACTGATGTTGAAGTTGTACTTTGGAACACAAATTTTACATCAGACGAAAATTGTGAAATTTCAGATGGTGATGTACCATGTTTTACTGTACTATCACTTGCTGAATTTTCTGCAAAGCTGTTGAAGCCAGAATGACAGTTATTAACATTGGAAATGTTATTGTAATTGCTATTAGTAGGATTGACAAAGTGATCTTCAGATAATTTTATAAAATTTTTTGATGATAAAAAGTTGGTAGTTAATGCATAGTGCTTTAGACTGTTTGTTGCAACTGTTGAATTTGAGAGATGAAGCTGATGACCATTTATTGGAGAGCTGTTAATTATTGTTGGAGACCAGTTAACCAGTGAACCAGAAAGCTTTGGCATTATATCTTTTAAAATTTGGGTATAATTTGGATTTAAACTTAACAAGTGGTTAATTTGATTACATAGTGCATCATTGCTGATAGAATTTGTGACATTAGTTGTTAAGAACTTGACTGGCAATGAAGTGCTTGAAACATTTGTCAATTCTGTGAAAAAAATTATAATTAATGTTTATTTAGTAGAATGTTTAACATATTTATATTAATTGAAAAAGTTTAGACTGATTTTATAAAATATATAGTTGATACACCAGTTCAGTGTTTCTCAACGAGGGGTGCATGTCCCACCAGAAGGCAATATAATAATTTAAGATAGTATTTGATCTCTACAGGTTACAGTGAAGGTGGAAATAGTTGGAAATAGAGATGAAAAAGGTAGAAAACACAGTGTTGAATCACTGTGTTAAATATAAAAATAGATAGACGATTGATAAAATGGTGTTCATAAATAAGGTAAAAAGGGTGAAACATTGAAGTAAATAAAGAAAAGGTCAGCCACTAATAATAAAAAAAGGCCATTCACTGTTTGAGCCTGGGCATAAACATTTTTGGACTGTGAAACTGCACTATGCACTAGTTCAACTACATCTCACAAATTATTTTATAACATAGTTTTAGAAATCATGCTCTCAACCTTCTGATACAAACAAAACAAGCAACAGACAATTATATAAACTTTTCACTAAAAAAAATGGGTAAAAATGAATTTATTATTGAAAAAAGAAGATTAATAAATTAAAAACCTTCTTTATTTTCACTGGCAAAGTGACTGGAATTGCTAGTGGGCCATGTTTTAATGGTGAGTTCCGTTGGTTGATCATTCAGTGTTGGCCTGATCAAATTGTGGAATTGAATTCTTCCATTTTCCCCAAACGTATCATTAAGATTTACTTTCTGATCAATTTGTGCGTTCATGTTTTTCAAAGAATTAGGCAGACTATTTTGCAAGGTCAGGCCTGGTTTGTAATTAACTAGTGAAGCATTAATGTAAGGTTGTGATGGTTGTAAGCTAAGAGAGGTTGATGACGGTGTACTTGCCGTTGAAGGAACAACGTGCCTATCAGAATGAACACTTGTCACATAACTTAACAAACTTGAATTAGTGTTTAATAGGTTTTCAGTAGACAACAAATTCGATTGTGAGTCAATTGAAATATGATTTAAAAAATTTTGAATATATGTTTGTGTTATAAGTGATGTAGATGACGAAAATGAAGATGATGTTGATGGCGTCTGCACAAAATTATTTGAAAGGTTTGACGAAGTAGATGTTTTCATAACATTATTCAAAGAATTTTTCTGATCATAACTATTCATTATTTTTGGATTAGAGGAATTTGAATATTTAGACATTTGTAAGTGACTGACAGATGGTGATGTCTGACTAGAAACAATGTGCTTCATTTGTGAAGAATCAACAGCAACAGATGATGCTGAAGATGTTGACAGAAATGACACATGATTCTTATTATGGCAAAGAGAATAGGAATGACTACTATTAACATTTGCTATACTGGTTCCTGCTTTTGTTGAAACATTTGTCATCAAATTGTTATAACTAGATGGGACTTTACATTTGTCTAAATGTTCTGATGAAATATTATTCAATTTTTGTTGATAATCAGATGAAAAATTTGTTGCATTCATCGAGCTAAATTCATGATCATTTGTAACTGCTGTCTGATTCCAAGTGCCAAACGATTCATTTTGCTGTGTTGTAGATAGGGAGGAGGATGATGATGATGACTGAGAAGATGATAAACCAAAACTAGAAGCTTTGGTGCAATTGACAGCAATATCAGAATATAAATAATTCAAATCAGAACTCTCTTTGAATCTTTTAGACTTTCTAGTCTGATTTCTTTTTCGTTTCTGTGTTGATAAAGAGCTTAGTTCCATAGCTTCACAAATGATCTGGGTAGATACTTGTGATGATGAACTATTGAAATTAGTTCTGTTGCCAGGACTTTTTAATAAATTAACCAAGAGAGGACTAGAAGAAGAAATATTTTGAGAACCAATCAGGCTGTCATCATGTAAATTTATAGGTTGTGTCGAGGATGATATTCCCAAGTTACTAGAAGTAGATGATGACAATAAATGTTGCGAAGATACAGGCATAGTAGGATGAATATTTTTCGGAGACACTTTATCATTGATGTAGCCTATATTTGGTGTAACAGCTTTGCAATCATTCTCAAGTGCATTAAAAGTTGTACATGAGAGGTTAGTCTGTGATTTATGTACATTGTTGGCCTGTTGTTGAAAACAATCATTTAATTTGGTCCCTGTCAGAGATATTTGATTCAACATTGACATCGAGTTAGGCATGCCATCAAATATGACATTAGAAGAAAGTGATTTAGATATATCGTTAGAAGGCACATTTTTTACTGGACAAGTATTAGACGAAGAACAAATGATATTATCATTTAGCACATTTGTATTTGAGTGACTTGTAGAATCCATCGTCAATGAAATAGCACTGTCTCCCTCTATCTGCACCGCAAGAACCCCCATTTCTCGTAATATACCATCCCGTTGTTCTGCCAAGTGCTTCAATTTGTATGCAGCATCTGCCGGTAGTTTTAATGTAACGCGGACACTATTCCAAGGTTCTACTTTTTTCACTTCAAAGTTTTTTTCATTATCTGAATATGATAACAATAAAACAAGCCAAATTTACATATAATACAAAAATTTAACTTTTAATTTTAATTAATATTAATTATTAAGATTAAAACATTAAATTAACTCAATAAATATGTTTCAAAATCAACCTGGTATAACTAATTTTTGAAGGCGACATTTTAAATCATCGAAACGCGATGAAAAATCTGGCGCATAAAAATTCCCTTTACATGTAAGGACGGTCTCCAGAAATTCTGCTTGTGGACCCATTTCATGAAGAAGTTACTCTGAATGGTGAATAAAGAAAAACAATCATAAACCCTGAACTATGTTGAAACAACAAAAACCATTGTACGAGATATAAAATTGAATTTAGTGAAAATGTTTCTATCAATTTATTCATTTTTATGAGCAAAACGAAACGTCGGTAACTAGAGAAGCGGCAATTCCATTAATGAAATTAAGCATATCGGAAACCGTATTAACTAAAATTAAAAACGATTAAATAAAATTGCATTTTTGAAAAACACTTTTTAAAACTAACGAATGATACCATTTAAAATATACTGTAAATTTGAAGTCATAAAATATCATAACAAAATGTCGCCATTTGCAACATCGGAGTGCGCAAGTCAAATGTTATCAAAACAATTTTTGGTCAGTACGAACTTGCAGAAAAATTTTTAAAAATTCGCTTTCGTGCATCTATCGTTATCTTATCTCTATCGCATATTTAAATCTTTATCAATTGTTACTTGCTAAATCTATTAGTTTACTAGAATTCAAAATTTTATTTAGCTTAAACTGAAAGAAACAAAACATATAATAGACAAAAACATATACATAAAAATCAATCAATCAATTCAATCAATCAATTAGTTTATAAAGTGCTA